GTGAATGGTATTACGTCCTCCAGGAGCTTATGAATACCATATATGACAATTCTCAAAAAGAAAAAAAATGCTTTTTTTTTCCAGACACAGTTCACCATCCTCCCCAAACCACTGAGAATCTGTAATCAGATGGTTCGTGCAGGACACAGATGCACATGAACACAGTAAAATGCCTTCTCCATATTTTGTTAGTTGGTAATTGATATCAAAGGCTTGCCTGATGCCAAAATTTCTCATGGCGCCCACTAACATCCTGACAATTTATCAAGTTAATTAGCTTCACCACTCTCGAAGTAGAATCTTAGAAAGGTAAATACAATAAAGGTAGATTTAGCAGTGGTGATGAGAAAAACTGCCACTCAAAAGTGTCGCCACGAGATCTTGAAGAACCAGGTTATAAGAAGAGTATACTAAAGTTTTCAGGGTAGGTGTAAAGAGGTAAACTAGGAATTAGGGAATTACTGAAGACAAATTTTAAATGGAACAGTTTTGCCTGGGCAGAGTCATTACATATAAGAATTTGCTGATCAAAAATCCCAAAACAATGAGTTCTTAATTGAAAGCACTTCATACAAAACATGCTTATAGAAACCAATCATAGCTGTGCCATTACTACAAAGCTACAGTAATCAGGACAGGGTGGTGCTGCCATAAGGACAGACCTACACAGATCAATGGAATACAATTTAGGCCAGAAATAAAGTCTCACATGTAAGGGATGCCAAGACCATTCAATGAGGAAAAGAATAGACTTCGTCAATAAACGGTGTTGGGAACACTGCATAGCTATATGTGAAAGAATGAAGCCTAACTCCAACCTCATAATATACACAAATTAACTCAAAATATACAAAAACCTAAATGTAAGAGTTAAAACCGTAACACTACAAAAAAAGGTGGAAATCTTTGGGACCTTGGATTAAGCAACACTTTCTTAGATGTGACACCAAAAGCAACAAAAGAAAAAATAAATTGGACTTCGTCAAAATTGAAGAATTTTGTGCTTCAAAGTATATCATAAAGTGAAAATACAACCCACAGAATGGGAGAAAAGTTTTGCAAACCATATATCTAATAAGGAACTTTTACCTGGTATATATAAATAACTTTTAAAACTCAAGAATTAAGACAATCCAATTTAAAAATGGGCAAAGCATCCAAATAAACATTTCTCCAAAGAAGAGATACAAACTGCCAATGTACACATTAAAATTTGGTCAATATCATTAGCCATCAGGGAAATGCAAATCAAAGCTATAAGGAGTTACCAGTTCACACCCACTAGGATGGCTGTAATCCAAAGCAGGTAACAAGTGTTAATGAGGATTGAGAAATCTGGAACGCTCGTACGCTGCTGATGGGATTGTCAAACAGTGCAGCCACCTTGAAAAACTGTTGGTGCCTCAAAAGTTTAAACAGTTACCACCTGACCCAGCAATTCAACTCCTAGGTATGTATTTAAGGAGAAATTAGCGTCCACATAAAAACTCGTACAAAATGGCCAGGCGCGGTGGCTCATGCCTGTAATCCCAGAACTTTGGGAGTCTGAGGCAGGCAAATCACAAGGTCAAGAGATCAAGATCATCCTGACCAACATGGCAAAACCCTGTCTCTACTAAAAATACAAAAATTAGCTGGGTATGGTGGCATGTGCCTTTAGTCCAGCTACTCAGGAGGCTGAGGCAGGAGAATCAGTTGAACCCAGGAGGCGGAGGTTGCAGTGAACCAAGATCATGCCACTGCACTCCAGCCTGGCAACAGAGCGAGACTCCATCTCAAACACACACACACACACACACACACACACACACACACTTGTACAAAATGTTCAAAAAACAGCATGACTTATAATTGGCAACAAGTGGAAATTCAAATGCCCATCAGTGATTCATGGATAAATAAAATGTGGTATATCCATATAATCAATGCTAAAGTACATGCAACATACGAACCTTGAAAACATTAGGTTGTCAAACAGGCCAGTCACAAAAGACCACATATTATGATTCCATTTATATAAATGTCCATAACAGGTAATAAGATAAATAGAAAGTAGATTACCAGTTGCCTGTGTTGGAGGTTGGCATTAGGAGAAAATGGGAGCCGGGCACGCAGACACAACTCCAGCTACTCCAGAGGCTGAGCCAGGAGGATGATATGAGCCCAGGAGTTCAAGGCTGTAGTGGGCTATGATGACGCCACTGCACTGCAGCCTGGGAAACAGAGTGAGACCTCGTCTCTAAGAAAATAAAATGAGCCAGGCACAGTTGTTCATGCCTATAATCCCAACACTTTGGGAGGCTGAGGTAGGCAGATCACCTGAGATCAGGAGTTCAAGACAGTCTGGTCAAAGCAATGAAACCCCATGTCTACTGAACACACAAAAATTAGCTGGGCGTGGTGGCTCATGCCTGTAATCCCAGATACTCAGGAGTCTGAGACACGAGAATCTCTTGAACCTGGCAGGCAGAGGTTGCAGTAAGTCAAGATTGCACCACTGCACTGAAGCCTAGGAGATAGAGCAAGACTCTGTCTCAAAAATAAAAATAAAAAATAAAATGAAATGGGGAGTGAGTGCTAATGGATACAAGGTTTCAGTTTGGGGTAATGACTACTTTCTAAAATCAGCTGTGGTGATGGCTGCACAACTTCATGAATATACAAGAACACTGAATTTAAGTAGTTTCTGTATGACTTATATCTCAATAAGGCTGTTATCTTTTTAGTCTTTCAGGGACTCAGGTAAGAGGCCTGTTATATGGACTCCATGTGCCACGGTACCAGGAGGGAGGCTCTGGTGATCACTTGAACCCTGCAGGCTAGTCCTGCCCCCATATCCAGACTTGGACTGAGCTACCCCTTAGTCCTGAGCGTTTAAATGTTTCTTCCCTGGACCAGGAGCAGTGGCTCATGCCTATAATCCCAGCACTTTAGGAGGCCAAGGCAGGTGGATCACTTGAGGCCAGTTCGAGCCAGCCTGGCAACATGGTGAAACCCCATCTGTACTGAAAAAATAAAAATTATCCAGGCGCGGTGGCAGGCTCCTGTAAACCCAGCTACTTGCGAGGCTGAGGCATGAGAATCACTTCAACCTGGGAGGCAGAGGTTGCTGTGAGCCAAGATCACACCACTGCACTACAGCCCAGGCAAGAGTGAGACTCAACTCGAAAAAAAGTTTCTTCCTGAATCTCCAGAACTATAGCTCCCTACAGAGCCACAGGTGAGCCAGCTGCAGTTCTTGAACCTACCTCAACCTCAACCCAGAGGCCCAGCAGGCAGGAGGGCCTGGTGGGAAGGCGGGTGTCCATTTCTTTACCTGAAGTGCTCAGCAATAAGGCAAAGGGACTGAAAATAAAGATTCAACAAGAGCTGTGTCAGGACAACAGGTTACAGGATGAATGCTGATATTTGTATGTACATCCAAAGAGGTGGCATTAAAATTCCAAGCCCTTTAACAAGTTGTGCTTAAAAGTACTAAAACGCTTCTCACACAGGTATGTATTCATTCTTTTCAGGTCCTATTTTAATCTGTCATATTTATAGTAGTCAATACAAATGAATTTTGGAAACGATCCATTTTTTATTCAAATAGAACCACATTTAACAATCAAGGTCATGGGGCATAGAAATGAGCTTCATTTTAGACTCGCATAGTTCATTGCCAGCAGCCATTAAAACAGTGTTCTTGACCCAAGACCAGACAAACAGAAGGGACACAAGCAATCCATTTTCAAGTACACATTAAATTTTATTCAATAATAGTATGTCTTCATAAAACTACTCTGTGAATGAAACAAACTGGATTTTTTTTTTTTTTTTTTTTTTTTTTGAGACAGTCTTACTCTGTCACCCAAGCTGGAGTGCTATGGCACGATCTCGGCTCACTGCAACCTCCACCTCCCAGGTTCAAGCAATTCTCCTGCCTCAGCCTTCTGAGTAGCTGGGATTACAGGCATGTACCACCACGCCCAGCTACTTTTTGTATTTTTAGAGGCAGGGTTTCACCATGTTGGCCAGGATGGTCTTGATCTCTTAACTTGTGATCCACCTGTCTTGGCCTCCCAAAGTGGTGGGATTACAGGCGTGAGCCACCACGCCCAGCCAACAAACTGCATTTTAAAAGGCAGTGGGCATAAGGAGGGCTGCTTCAAAATCCACCCCGGTCACCACGCTGAATAATCGTATTGTGTTTATATCATAAAGTGAAGTTCTAGTCTCATCCCAGTGTTGAGTTCACCTGATGAACCCTGACCCCTTTCCCTGCCCAACTCATCCTGCAAATAGAAATCCTACTTCCAAGGGAATCCATTTGTCTTTCTTCCCGTTACTTCCCGTTCTTGGTATTCTTGTAATACCAAGAACTGATATTACAGCTGTAGAAAGCTATCCAATATTTAAGGATTTAAATCACAGAATCCTGTTACTAAGGCGTTCTTTAAAGAAAGAAAACCAGTTCTTTTTTATGCCATTTATTTAGAAAAAAACATTTGCCCCTAGTGAATATACTAACCTTATTTAAACAAAGATAAGAGAGGGAAGTAAGAACTGATTTGAGGAATGAGCCTGGAATCTAAGGCCTGCCACACATCCCTGACCTTCAACTTACCTTTCCAGTCTTCCCCCACCTCTGCTCTACACACCTGAGATTCTAGGTGGAGCAATCTACAGGTAACTCTCTGAATGTGGTTCCAGCTTCCCTTGCCTCACACTCTTGCTCATAACATTTCCTTTCCTTGGAAACACTGCCTTCATCTCGGCCCCATTCAGTCTTCACTTGTTCACATCAGACGCTTCTTTCAAAACCCAGTGGAAAAGCTCATTTTCTCATGTAGCCTTACCTAACTCCATACCTCTAGAAAGTCATGCAAACTCATGCCACAGCACAGTCAGCAGCAACATAGGGTCAGCATGGCACTGAGAGCAAGCACAAACCACACAGGGCCACTTCACGGTCTTCACTAGAAGAACGTAAGGTCTGTATGGGTGAGGGCTACACAGACTTAAATATTATAGCAACCATTTATTAAAAGTATTCATCTGCTTCTAAGTTCTATAAGCAATTTTAATATAAACATTCAATAAGGCATCTTTCCCATTTCTCCCAAGATTTCATCTCTTTCTGCTGCCGTAGGCATAAATGGCTTCACTCCGTTCTGTCTTCTCTGGATCATGATAGAATGCTGTGTATAGGCATTAAAATAAAAAAGAAAAAACCAAAATCAGTCATGTATTAAATGCTAATCATTTGCCAGTAATTTGCTATTGCTTCCTCAAAAAGGTAATTCTAAAAACCAAGTTTTTAAAAAAATCCAAAACCTAACACTAGGACTCCACATAAATGTTTTAAAAATAGTAACAATTAAATAGAAGTAGTCATTTCCATAGGAATACGTTAACAGCAATTGGGATGGGAATATACAAAGTACAAAACACAGAAGCATATACAGTTCATCAAGAAGAGCTGCTGAGTAATTTTGAAATAAAACCAACAGTGCATTCAGCAAAGGTAAAGGAAATAGCTGGGTCCAGTGGTTCAAGGAATCAGAAATTATACACCAATGTCTTCAGAAAAATGGACCATTTTAACTATCATGGATGGCACTGAGTGAGAAAAAGGCAGAAGCGGAAGCCTAACACGATGTGTTATGATGAGGGAAGTTAAACATTCTGTTCGTCTCCAAGGAAACGAAATTTATAACACAGACATTGTTTTAGGGCTACAGATACTTAAAAGCCTAGGAAGGCCCACCTATATTAAAACTGCATTCTTACAGCTTAGAGGATGATGAGGCAGCTACAAGAGCTCTCAAGGATCTTTTTGGGCTAAAACAGCATACAGAGGATAAAGCTGAAGTTAGGTTTCCCTGCAGCCATCAGTGGGAAAGGATTATGGGTACTGACTAATTTTCCGCTTCAGTTTCAAGCCCAAGAGATGGGTTTTAACACAAAACTAACCAATCTAGGCTTACCCAGAATTTCCGGCAGTTTTTGTACTTCAAGAAGTAAGTAGAACACCTTTCCTTGTCATAGTTATTTGCATCCAGACATCTGATGGAGGCATCAGATTCCTTACAGACGTAAGAGAGGTATCATTTAAGAGGTAGAATGGGATCTAAAAGCAAACAAACAAAAAAAGCTGCTTCCCCAGAAGCAAATAATGTGAGATAGTTCATTTGTGTTTTTTTTATGGGTAGACCTAATAAAAACTGGACAATCTCACCAACAATCTCAGGAGGCACTGTGCTCAGGCTAACACCTTCCTTTTTATAATCTGCGCCAGTTTTCTGAATATATGGTTACAGGAATTTGAGCCAAATAACTGTGATCAATTAATCCAGTAACCGTTTTAGTAAGAAACCGAGGCAAGGTGCAATGTGTTAAATCACTACTGCACAGCTAGAATCAGAACCCGTCTCCTGACTCACAGTGCATCTCTCTGGCTTTTCCAGATTTTCACTTCGGCTTGAATGTTTGATCATAATGTTGGTTTCAAGATTCTAAGGAAATCACTAATAACTGGTCGACATCAAGACAACTTAAATTAACACTATTCATCTCAATGTATTTTTGGCTATCATTTACTCCATTACACAAATACGCTATTATATAAGCAATTTTAACAGATATCACTTCAAAACCAAAGTCAACAACACAGGGCTGTAAGTTCAAAGGAAAGTAGATGCCACATGGGGATTAAATTTGAGCTGTGTGAACTGGAAGTACATTGGATAACAAACTTAAAAGTGAAAGGTATGATTCTGGGAAGTCATCTAAAGCAGGGGTCCCCAACCCCCAGGCCACAAAGGGGTACTGGCCTGTGGCCTGTTAGGAACCTGACCAGATAGCAGGAGATGAGCAGTGGGCAAGTGAGCCTTACCGCCTGAGCTCCCCTTCCTGTCACATCAGTGGCAGCATTAGATTCTCAAAGGAGTGTGAACCCTATTGTGAACTGCATGCATGTGAGGGATCCAGGTTGCAAGCTCCTTATGAGAATCTAATGCCTGTCGACGCCCGCCGCTTCCTGGTCTGTGGAAAAATTGTCTTCCACAAAACCGGTCCTTGGTGCCACAAGGTTGGGGACCACAGATCTAAAGGAAAGCTTTAACTATATGGGTAATTTGCATCCCACATCTAAGAAACATATTCTACCTAAACAGAACAAAGCTAAATTGCTATGCCAAATATTTAATGAATGTTTTCATTTGGAAAATGCATGTAACAAAAGAGTATAATTTTCATGGTACCAGTATGATAACTACATTATTCAAAGGTAGTGAATCCATGAGTATTGCAAATCATACCAAATAAATGCCAATAAAAGCTTACCCTTCAAACATTTCATGAGATACCATTGTGAAAACCTTTAGGCTTTAAATAGGCTAATTCTATTATCGGCGCATTACCCTCCGCCAGGTTGTCAAGGACATGATGATATTATTACTAGTGAAACAATAAATGTCAGTGACAGTTTACAAATATCATACCTTCCAGTTTTCCATGTTTGGACTAAATATTCTCAGTGGGACATATTCCTGTCTGGTTTTACAGTGACAACCAAATGCTTGCAAATTATACAAATAAGGAAAACTAAAGAAAAGATGAATGTTTGTTGGAGAAACTATAAACATCTAAAAATGCTCTAGTAAAATAGGATATGCTAGCCAGCAATATTTTTTGTAGAAAAAATAACTTTATTCAACAACTGCAGAAAACAAATGCCCACAAAACTAGAAGCTGCCTGTTTTTCCAACTTAACCCTCATGAAAATTAAAGCAAACCATCCTACCAACATGCAGGGATTTATGTCAGGATCTCTCAGCTTCAGCATTTCCAAGGGTATCCTAATAGTCTTCTCACTGCAGGTAGACAGAAAAAAATAATTACACAGTAGATGACAGAAAATAAATCAATACCTCTCAACAGCCCTAAAAGTACCTGAAATTTTGATTTTGGCACAATGATCATTTAGTGAGGAATTTCATGTATTCCCTGTATTTTGTGAATAAAAACTTGAACGTGTTTCTCCTTTGTATTGTCATGCCTCAACACAAAGGCCATATATTGGATTGAAATGTATCTATGGTCCAGGTGGGGTGTCTCGTGCCTGTAATCCCAGCACTTTGGGAGGTTGGGGTGGGAGGGCTGCTTAAGCTCAGGAGTTCGAGATCAACCTGGGCAACATAGCAAAACCCCATCTCCACAAAAAATACAAAAATTAGTCGGGTGTCGTGCCATGTGCCTGTGGTCCCAGGTACTTGGAAGGCTAAGATGGAAGGATCACTATAGCATGCGAAGTCAGGGCTACAGTGAGCTGTGATTGCACCAGTGCACTCCAGACTGGGTGACCGAGAGACCTGTCCAAAAAAACAAAAAAAGAAAGATAATTCAATTATAATTCAGTTGTGGCTTACTCTTATTCTTAAGTTTAAGTAACTAAATGTATTAATAAAACTGAATACAGTATGCATTCCAATAATTACTTCCTTATTACATACCAATTAGCGTACAAAATAAGAATGGAATGCAGTACAATCCAACTTTAGCAAAAGCATTCACCAACTAAAGTATCAGAGTGCCTATTTTATGGCCAATACAAGGGTAGCCAACACACCAAAAAGTCAAGTTATCCCTTAGCTGACATGTGAAAAGCGATAGTGTTTAAAAAACAAACAAGTTGAAGTTTTACTTCCAGTGGCATCTTTTAACTGATTACTTCCCTGGGTTACAGGACATCAGGGAATGCTACCGTGCTTCAGTAATCTTCCAATTCAATTCCTAGAGATATAGCTTTGCAAAAGTCTTTATTGATTAAAGATGATACCATTTCCTCAGAGCCAATTCATTATTCCAAGTCAAGTCATATACTCATGTAATAGGTATGTCAACTACAGGAAATCAGCTCTCTATAATGGAATTCAATTGAAATTGGTATTCCTATTATCTTCGAAGAAATGCTATAGAAAAGAAAATTCAAAAACCAATAGTCATAATTATTTCGAAGGGATTTCAGTCATGTAAAAAGAAATGAAGCATATTCAAGAAAAACAAACCCCATAAACTCCTGAAAACTGGAGGTAGACTCGATCAAGAGTAACCCAGCCCAATTCTACAATGGATAGATCAGGATGTGCACGCCAAAAGACACCAGTCTTTGCAAAAAAAGAATGGAAAAGGGTTTCGTTATTTTGGGGTCCTTTAAGTAATCACTGAATAATAATTTTATAATTTTCACTGAACAATACAAGAAAATATACAGTCAACAGAAATGTCTTGGCAAAAAAGTAATCAAGATGCTGTTCAATTATAACTACAAGCTTCTTTCTCTCCTGAAGACAGTTTTTTTTTTCAGGCTTGACTTCTTCCTAAGAGAGATGATGGTACTAAGTAAATTCACAGCTTTCTTTTTTACATCTATCCTATGATGTGAGAACACAGAACTCTTCTTAGCTGTTCATACACCATAGATGTAATAAGCTCAACAAGGATCAGACAACCTTTCTTTAAATTCAAGCTTCGTGCCTTACATGAAAGTATCCTACTCTGTATTTTATTGTCATCAGTCAGAAATTTTTAAAAAATAATACCTAGGTAACATCACATATACCCAGTTCAAGTTTGCTGCATGAGATTCATTTCATTTCCTTTTCCTTCCGGATTCTAAATACAAGACACTCTAAGCTTGGATTTCCGAAAGTCCCCGCCTTTGCATGAGTTCCTTATGTATTAACTGGAATTGAAGAGGAAATGTCAATTTACAGTGAGGAGCGGGGCTGAAGTGCAAGATCGAGTGCTCCGCTAAAGAGGCCTTATCTATTACTTTTTGAATGTACTAAACAAATGTTACAAGGCTCTACTACTCGCAGAGAATAGCCAGAAAGAAAAACCAAGCAAAGATTAGAAGGAGGGGCCACAAAACCACAGCACATTCGGGGAATAACTCTAAAATCCACTCCTAAGGGCAAACCGCTTAATAAAGCAGTTCTTGATTTCCCATCCAGTGGTTCACGTCCCCCCTCTCCCAGTAGCTTTGAAAGGACAGGGGGAAGGGAACATTTCTAAACACGTTCATGCCCACACTCCCCGTGGTCGGAGCCCGGGCAGGGTCAGCGGCTCTGCTAAACCCGGAAGCTGCACACGCCGTGCCGGTAACCCACCGCCAGGTGCAGAGAGGCAGGGGTAAGAAGTCAAGGGTGGTCTGCCAGAGGTGGACAGGCCGGGCGAGGAGAAACGAGGGGCGAACCCGAAGCCTTGCCGCCTTCGCGGTGCAGCCTGTCAGCGTCGGATTCTGACCGGCGCGCACAGGTGAACACACCTTGCTGTGTCCTGCGACGGTGCCCAGAGGGGCAGGGGGCGAGGAAAACGCAGGGAACTGGGGGTGGGGCCGGCAACTGCGCTTCAAAGGCTGCGGAGAAGGAGAGTGGAGGAAGAGCTGGGGTTGCCCGGACTAGGCAGGGGTCACCTTCCTCGCCCCCGGAGCAAACTGACCAGTGTTGCGAGAGGAAGAGCAACGGGAGGAGGTCAGCCCTGCAGCGAAGGCTGGAGGAGCGCCTCCGCGCCGCAGAAGTGGATTTGAGCACCGCCACGGTCCAGGTTCACCCCTCTCTTTCCGCTTTACTGAGGCCGCCGCGGAGGTAGGGCGGGGGACCACTCACCTCGGGCCTCCGCTTCGCCAGCACCCAGGCCGTCTCCAGCTCCAAACACGTCAATGGCTCACGCAGCAGGACCTTAAGTAGAGCGCATCCGAACATGCTGCCCCCGCTCCCGGGCGACCAACCGCCCAATTGGCGCGCGCCGCTGCGAGACTGACAGCCGCGCGGGGCCCTGTGCCGCAGGGGCGGGCGGGCCTCGCCCCGCCCCCGGCTGGCGAAAGGCGGGCCAAGGCGGGAGGAGTGGGCGGGGCGGCGCGCGCGACCCCGCCCTCTTCCCCCGCCCCGCCGCGCCCCCCAGCCGCGGCCGGTCTCTTAACACCTCCGCTTGACGGGCGGTGCCACAGCCCAATGGGAGAGCCAGCTCCCGGCAGCGGCGGCGCCGAGTGGCCGGCCCCGAGGGCGGAGCGTGCTCGAGGGGCGGGGGCAGCGGCGGGCGGGGGGCGGGGGCGGGCCGACGGAGGCGGGGGCGGCGGCCGAACAGGCCGGGGGAGGCGGCGGTGGGCGCGACGTCGGCGGCGGCGGCGGCGGCGGCGGCGGCAGCTGCAAGTTGGGCTGCAGGGGCAGCGCATACACTACAATGGCTGCTGGAAAGAGGCGTAAGGAAACAATTTCCAGGCCCGCCGCGTCCAGCCCGAAATATGAGAAAAAAATTATTAGAAATTCCGCGGGCGGTGTAGAGGCGGCGGACGGGCCGGAGGGAGGATGTTAAAGCCCCGCGGTGAGTTCTCCGGGGGTCCGGGGCGGCGGCGAGGCGTTTAGCGGGAGAAATATCAGGGTTATTTAAATTATGGGACTAGCCGAGGGGGCAGAGGAGCAGCGGCGGCGGCAGGAGGAGGAAAAGTTTGTGCTACTCTCAGCCCCTGCTCAGGACCCCAGAGAGAAAAATAATAATAAAAAATAAAATAAAATAATTACGCGGGGCTACGAGGACTCCCGAAGTCGCTTCTGACAGGGCAGGGGGCGATGCGGCTGGGGACCCGAAGGTGAGGTCGGTGGGAAAAAAAAAAAACCCTTTATTCAGGGTCTGGAAAGTTTGAAAAGTTTTCCTCCTCCTCCTCCTCCTCCTCTCTGGTGCTGTGAATATTGTGACAGCGGCAGCGGCAGCAGCGAGAGCGGAAGACATTAGAGACCCGAAAAATAAGGGAAAAATTAATATAAATTCAGTTTTGAGAGTAAACTCTCCGCATTTTCCACCAAAACATCCCGGGGGAAGGTCCCTTCCCAAAGGGCCTGGCGGAAACCCGCAGTCGGCAATATTTGGGGGGCACTTTGAGTGACTTGGGGTAACTTTGCCCCTTTTTCAAAAGAGGTTTTTCTTTTCTGGAGAAATGAATTTGTTTTTGCCCTTTCCTCAGGTGGGCAAGCCGGGGTCGGGGTGCGGGGTCTGCGGGGAGGTGTGAGCCTGGGGTGTGTGGCTGCGAGGGGGGGTAGGGGGAGGGGGTGCTAAATGAAAGCAGGAGATCGGCACAGAGCAGGGACAGCTTGTTGTCAGTATCATAAACAACCAAAATGGAGGGAGAACTCAGGCATATAACCAAATAAAAATTTTTAAAAAATCGCAAAAAATCCCTAAAAATCCGGGATGCTCCCCCTTTTCTCGCTAAAGGTAAAAGTATGTACCGCCTTTCCCCTGAAGTCCATTTTGACTTTGCAGGGACCAAGGAGTTAATATTTATTTATTTTTTAAAACTTTCGAAGGGCAAAAGCCTTTTATAACTCAACCGACAATGAGAAAACGTGAAAATCCGATGCAAGAGAAGCAGGGGGAGCGAGGGGGGAGGTGGTAGTGCAGAAACTGCTAAACTTATTGGTAATGTGGACTGATCTGAGATAAGATAAACACGATATTTGCTATTTTATCACTCTCTTTTAATGATCTTTGCGGGGTTTTTTTTGGGTGGAAAAAAAGTGATGCCATTTTCTTAATAGAGTTAATATGTGTGATTGGAAGAAGAAACCTTTCCGGCTTTAGATTACATTTTCGTCGCATTTATGCTTCAGGTTTTGTTAGTGGCTCCCTCCTTTCTTTAAACTGGGCTCTGCAGAGGAGGGGTAGAGAGGTGATGGTGCTCAGAGAGGCTGGAGTGCAAGGCTGGAGTACCTTTTGGGGAGGGGTGTGGAGTTGCTTGGTTTCCCCCTTCCTGACACGTTTGCTTCACCTGTTCGTCCTTCCTAAAGAATGTTAAGCTGAGGTTTTCTGGTTTTATATATATAAAAGGATGATGTCTCTTGCATCACATTGATGTTAATGGGAAAGTGCTGCTGATGTTGGTTCCACGTGGGATATGGGACAGAGCAGGGCGTTTTAAAGGGATAGCTTCTCTTTTCTTATGGTTTTCATCACTTACACAGAGTCACTGTCTGAGGACCAAAAACAGAGGTGCTGGGAGGGTGTGGTGATGGAAGAGCCTTGCCTTTCTGTTACTCCAGTGCACCCACCCATAGGAGTGATGGAGGGACAGGAGGGATAAACAGCCTCAACCGAAGATGGATATGTGTGTAGTTTGTATCCAAGCTGTTCTTTTGTGTAACAAGCCCTCCCAGGAACTTTTCATGTTACATTGCTTTGCTTTGGAAGCTGATTTTGGAAGGAATTGTGGAAAAATGGAAATAGTTTAAGGTGTGTGGTGTAATGGTATAGCATTATTGAACAGTTATGAATTCTGTGCAGTGAGATCAAAGAGCTGTGTATGCCCATAATGTGATTTTACAGCCATTTTGTAAAAGCTGTAAAATACCTGATATTCAATTTGGCTTAAGGTACATTGAGGACTTCTGGTTGAAAATTACAGAGTGGTGAAGATTCTTTAAAATTGTAAGCAGCAGGCATTTCTTTAGGGGGAAAGCACACACCAACACCACGGAAAAGTTTACATATCCATTCTTAAAGCCCATCCTATACATGGGGTTTAACTTTGCGCCTTTGAAGTGAAAAGATTTTTTAAATCCTGATACCTATGAGTTTTCATCTTCTGAGTTGGATTTATTTGTGTTATTTAACAAAAAATGTTTACTGACCATAAACTACTATCAGCTCTTATGTTTTAGATTTCCACCATATTTTCAAAATTTAAAATATGTAAGTTGTTAGCTGTACTATAATGGGAATTAAGGTTAATCTTCAGTAGAAATTACTTGTGTTCCATTTTCTACAGGTATATGGAGTTTCTGAAATAAATCCCTATTTCCTCCTGTTTTTATGATTTATAGACATGGATTAAAATTAGAGCTGAATATTTAGACTTTTTATATAGAATGTTTTTTCTTGCCATACTATATAAACAGTTATTATTTTTGTAACCCATTGTATGTTAACTTGTGTTTACAACTGAATTCTTCCAACTTTCTGTAACCACCTCCATAACAACATCACATTGGTAATGTGTTTGAGTACATCATCTTGTGGTTTCTGATTTTGGAAGCAGTTACAGCTTTCTAAGAACTCATTAAAAAATTAATCCCATCACCCACAGTTAAATCAGAATTGATTGGAAAAGGATTAAGCTATCAATAGAGAAGGGAAACTCCCCCCTGCCCGGTGATCTTCTGTCCAGAGGTTTCAGAATGCCATTAATACTTACAAAACCTTTTCAGTTTATCTTACGTTTTCATTGTATTTTGGCTCAAGACACTTACATTGACTATAAGTAGTCAGAATTATGCTGTGCCTTTAAAGTAAATGAGACTTAGATCTTGAATAATTGCCACTTTGACAAACCAGATCCTAATATCAATAAATTCAATCTATTAAAAAACTGAAGGAATTCAAGTTATATTAGATCATCGTGTTATTCAGGTTGTGAGACACTTTAAGTTTAATGATTGGTTTATTGTCAATCTAAACAAAAGTGATGGTATTGTGATTTTTTTTTTCTTCCTTTCATACAGGGTGGTGTAAAACTTTCTTCATATTTGTATTTTATGCAGCTAGCTACTTGTCTAATTTAGAAAATGCACTCAGAGTGCACAAATCCAAAATCTGTAATCCCTTAGAGAGTCTTATTTAGATGCGGCACAGCACAATGTTTAATTTAAATTGATTTGAGCTTTTGTGATGCCTTAGAAATATAACTTGTTAAACATCTTTTTCTGAGGCTACTATTACATTATACAAATATACGGAAACAATGTGATGATATTGTGTACTCAAAATCTTTATTTCAGTTGGAATCAGAGAAACCTCAAAGATTGATAGCCTTATTTAAAATTTATATGTCTAATTTTGCTTCTTGAAATTCTATAAAGAATTCAGCTGCTGTGGAAGATTTATAAGTGTGGGCTAATGTTGACACATTCTGTATCTGTATATTATTACCAAAATATTTTAGTAAATAGTAAATAGATATTTACAGCTAAATAAATTAGTGAATTTGCTTTTATCAATGTAGTTTTAAAATTTGAAGGGTACTATTTGTGTTTTAATATCATGCACAGGTGGAGGTTATTCCTTCATTTTTAATGTAATCCTGGTTGTCACTATGTACATTTTGGTTTGGTATTCTTCAAATTTTCCTTTCTAAGGATTAAATTTGTTGTTTCCTAAATTAAATGTAATGCTCCTGTCTTAAGTGAGATTTGAAAAGCCATATAACTAAAACATATATCTATAGCTATCTTCGAAGTTTTGTTTCAGTAATCATTTGCCTCTTGAACTGTGTAGTTAAAATGATAATTTCATCTAAGAATGTTTTAATATTTTTTCTTTAGAATCCTGTTCTTTGGAAAATTAAGATATGTAAAAATTTATCAGTTACACACACCCCCAAGGAAAAAAAGTTTTACTGAAGAAATTTACTTACATTTCTTGGAATACGTATTCTTTTTGGTGTGTTTACAATTGTATAAGAAATAAATATTAATTTTTCTCTTTATATTGATAACATCTTAGATTCTTTAATTATTTGAATAAGGAAAGAGTTTCAGAAGGAAAAAACTGAATTTGTTCAACAAAATCCAAGGTAGTGAATATGATCAAGGTAAAAGGGCTATAAATCATCCCTTGAGCCATTTTTAAATATCTTGAGAACCTGATAAACACCTTTTCTGAAACACTGAATACTTTGAAAGTATATCAGTCACTTCTGAAAAACAAAGGTGGACCTTTAGTTTCTTTAATTTTAGCAGGAATTA